TTTTTTTTTTTTTCTCATTAAACAGAATAACATAGTATTTCACAAAATTATTTTCTTTTGTTTTTCAATAGTAAGGAATGAAAAAAGGGAGAAAATATTCACGGTATAGCGATCAGAGAGCGGTTTTTTAACATCCACTTGCGAACGTGTCAAATCGTGACAAAAATAGCCGCAAGAGGGCGCGCAAAACACAGTCGGCGTGCAACGTGTTAACGAAGAGAGGAGTTTCGATCCCTCTTTACGTTAATTAGGAGACCTGCGCTTTACATGATAATTCCAAGATAATACGTGGCGCGACGTTATGCAATACGTTAAGCGTGATAATTTGCCGCGGATAAAATTTCTATTCCACGCGAACATCGTGGGGCTCTCCTCGGATCACGGGAGCTATCGACGCTGAGATTTCACGAACAGCACGAGTTATGCGCCATACATCGCGTCAAGGTGCACGTGCCTGACACAAATGCGACAGAAAATCGTTTAAATCAAGCTTCTCGGGCGTATTGGCATACAAGCGTCTGTCCCCGGTGGGAAATCTCAGCGTGTGAAGAGCGTTGCACGCCTAAACCGAAAGTAGCAGATCCACGCGCGTATCCAAACGTATCGGTCTTATATAAATAACCAATCTCGTAAAAATGATGCTTCTCGCTCGATCGTCCGAAAATATCTTACAACTCTCGCTCGATTAACTCTCTGGAGTTGTTTGATATTTTTTTCTTTTTTTAGCTTTTGTCGCACAAAAAAATCGAGATAACAGCATTGGATCCGAAATTTTTTTTCTTTCTTTTTTTTTGTAAATTGAATAATATTTTGTCATTATGTTTTTATGTATGTTCTAATAACGGGATTTAGTAAGAAATTTGAGCTCCAATTTTTATAATTTTCTTTAATTTGCTTTTTAAAAAAAAGTCGAAAAATTTATATATCAAAGTGATTTTTTTTTTTACAAGTTCTGTGTTTCAGAACTACAATAAAAGTAATTAGTAGGATATAAAGGCTCTTTCCCTCATGCTTTTATTTTTTATGTCTTT